GACCAATTAGATAATGTCTTTTCTTACCGATTCTTGGAAATTTTTGTTAATGTATTAGCAGATCAATTAATTCGGTTGTCTGCCAGTTATTTTTTCCAAGTTGAACAATTACGTGTAATGACTCAAGAAACAAATATTCGGACATCACTTTTTGAAATATTGGTTTCTTGCTCTAAAGAATTTGCTACACATGCGATCAAGGTTAATGATATGCAAAAGGAAAATATTAGAAAAGAAAATAATCAAGAAGTTGATACAGCACGACTTGGAAACATAACTCAGTGGGATGACTCTAATCATTTCGTTGTGTTTTTATTGCAAATGCCAGATTATATATATTCTCTTTATCAAGAAAAAAGTGAAGTAACTGGCAATATTGAAAATTTATTAAGAAGCCAAAATGCCGTATTACAAGACTATTACAAAATGAAACCAGAAATGTTGTTGGAACAACTGGAGCGACTTGCAAGAAGAAAGGTGCATAAATTAAAAGACTTACCTGAATACACGTTAACAATAGAGAATCTTCTCAAGATGGTAATGATTTTATCGAGATCACATGCAAATATTCCAGTAGTTCTTTGTGGTGAAACTGGTTGTGGCAAGGTACGGATTATATATTAGCACAAAGTCTGTATTCAGTTACTATAATACGCGAGATTGATTTTTGAATTTTTTTTTTATTTTTATACCATCTAAAAATCTAGACCAGTTTAATCAGTTTCTTGTCAATGGTCATGGAAGTCAATTTTCGAGCATTAAATTTCCATGCGGGAGTTCATGAGAGTGATATTCTAGATTTTATGGAAAATGCTACAGCACTTGCAGCAGAAGGTGAAACTTGGATATTCTTTGATGAAATAAATACTTGTAACCACATTGGAATGCTTGGAACTTTGATCTCAAGCAGATTTCTTAATGAAAAAAAAATCCATCCAAATATTAGATTATTTGCTGCTTGCAATCCTTATCGATTAAAAGCTAAAACACAAAATAATGTAGGCTTATCAGCAAAATTATACGAAGAAAAAAAAAACATGGTTTACCAAGTACATCCGATACCTGATCAAATATTAGATTATGTCTGGGACTATGGCCATCTCAAAGCAAATGATGAACAAAATTACATTGAGATTATGGTGAAAACTCAGTTAAATCATCCGTTTTTTGCCGAATTATTATGTGCGTCACAAGCATTTATTCGCAAAGTCGAGGAGCCATTTAGCGTTAGTTTAAGAGATGTGAAACATGCTATCAAGCTTTTTAAGTTTTTTAAATATACATGTGGTAAATTTAATTACGCACAAAATAATAGCAAAATTATATCTCCTGAAACTCGTTCATTGGTATTGGCCCTTGGTTTATGTTACCTTTTTAGACTCCATGACCAATATGAACGTAAAGAATATCGAAAAGAAATGATTGGAATCATAGAAAAGTATCAAGAAATTGATGTATCTCGATACAAAAACCGACAATCCAAAGATTTTTTTGAAAATATCATTTCACAAGAACAAGAAAATTATTTTAAACGTATGCGGTATCCCGAAGGAACTGCAGCAAATGAAGCTCTTTTAGAAAATCTTCTCGTAATGATAGTTTGTGTACAAACACAAATACCAGTATTCATAATTGGTGCACCAGGAAGGTTAGTAATGTAAAATCTTAAATATGAAATTTGAAAGCGTATATATATTTATTAAATTTTGGTTTATTTTATAGTTCAAAATCTTTAGCAGTGCGTCTTATTAGTATGAATCTTCGAGGAGTAGATTCAAACGATCCTTACTTTCGAACCTTGCCTCAAGTCTATATGATACCTTATCAAGGTTCAAGTTTGTCAACTTCTGAAGGAATTACTAAAGTTTTTCAAACTGCTGAAAATTACCAACAAACTAGTTCCAAAGAAAATCCTGCTACAGCTGTTGTTCTTTTATATGAAGGTAAAAGTGACAATACTGCATTATCTGTATAATCTGTTATAAAATTTAAATATTTTAAATTAATAATTACGTATTTTATAGTTGGTCTTGCGGAGACCAGCCCATATAATCCATTGAAAGTACTTCACGCTTTATTGGAACCACCACCCGGTTCTCAAAGTAGTGAACCGGCAGTTTCTATTATTGGAATCAGCGATAGGAGATTAGATATTAGCAAATCCAGTCGAGCATTATTAGTTCAGCGTCCCCTCTTTGCAGAATATGATCTGATTGACACCGCAAAACGCTTGCTTGGGAATTATATTAGAGGAATTTATAACATTGATGATTTTTTGAAAAAACTTCAAAATCATATCTTGAGTATATTAAAAATCAAAAATATCCAAATTTTCATGGTAGGAATTCAATGTCAATAAAATATTCGATATTTTTGATCACAACATTTTAACTTTTTTATTTTGTTTTTTATTAGGTCTTCGGGATTATTATTCTTTAGTAAAGAGCATAAAAAGCATGAAGAACAAGCAGGAGGTGAACTTACTGTTCGTATATTACATATGTATTTTTATATTATTTGGCACTAAATTATTTTTACTATTCTTCAGCCAAATATTCAATTAGCACTTGCTCGAAACTTCGGAGGAGCTGATAACATGGATGAATTATGCAACACGTATTTTAGACCAGTTTTAAAACAGTTCTATAAATACAAATTCGAATATATTTCAATTCCCGTTCAAAAACTTATCGATGCAAATTTTGAAGAAAAAAACGCACGAAACCTTATGCTTATTGGAAATAGTAATTCCATAGTTACTCTTCAAATATTTCGGCTTAGTCAGAAAGGTATTGAACCGGTCGTTATTATTGGATCGCAATTTCCTGACGATATAGATGGTGGAGATTATTCATATGCAATTCTAAATCGTATAATGGTAATGATTAAAGATTTGGTATCCTAGTATCATAATGTGTTTTACTAACTATATCTCTGATAAAGATGTGTGTGGAAACGGGCAGACCTTTGATATTAATTGATCTTGAGATTATTTATGGTATAAAGTTTTATGCCAATTAAATTTACCTTTAATAAATTTAATAAGAACTTAAAACTAAAAGTAATTTATTTAGGCTCCCTCTATGATTTATTCAATCAAAATTTTTTATCAGAAGGAAATTCGGATGAAGAAAGCGACAAAAAGAACTTTACTAGAATAAGTCTTGGCCCATATTCTAATCCTATGTTATATGGTAATTTTAATTTTGTAAATTTATGATAATTGCAAGGATTAATAAAAAATTTAGATTATGATAATATTATACTAACGGGAACCAATTTTCTTATACTATAGTGCATCCAAACTTTAGGTATTTTTGCTATCTGATATTATTTTAATTTGTGATAATATGTTTTTATTTATTTTAATATTTATCAATATACGGTGTATAAATAAATTTTAGGTGTATTTTGGTGCAGGATGAAACAAAATTACCATTAGCTGATCCACCTCTCCTAAATCGCTTCGAAAAGCAAAGGCTTTCACTAAATGAAACACTTTCAAGTAGCGAAAAAGGAATCTTTGAACGTTTGAAGGAGTGGACCAGGCAAATTTCAACTATTGTTGGAAATGAAGAAGATACTAAAAATTTGTTTAATGAAACAGATATGTTTATTGGTTTCTCTTCAGAAGAAAGTTTACAAAGTTTGGTTATTGACCAATGCGGAAAAAATCCTGATATTGATGACGATGCGATTATTCATGCTTGCAAGGAAGCCTTGATTTCAATCGCTACTTCAGATAGTATTGTAAGAGCTGATAAGTCATATTTAAAAATAAGTGACAAACAAGAAGTAAAGCATTGGCAAAACTTTTATTTCCATGATAAAAGACAGTAGCATTCGAGATTTTTACCAAGTTACAATAAATAACAATTCAGAAAAACAGCTTATGATTATAAATACATTTTCCAATATCAACACTGATGTTAAATCGTGTCTGAAAGACATTATAGATTGTCAAATAGACAAATTTTCGACTTTCAAGTCTGAAGCTGAGCTCCAAAATCAAATTAAACGTTTTTATGAATCTGATAGTAATTTATATATCTTGCAGTGTGATCCTTTGACCGTAAAGGCAGGATGTATAAGATTAGCAAAGTTTATAATTGAACAGTATGAGAATGAATTCATGGAAAAATCACAAATAATCAATAAATCAGTAAAACGCGCATGTATAATTATTCATTTTAACCGACAATCCGATAAGGATAGAGCAGATTTATTCAATTTTATGTGCAGTTGGAGCCAAATTACTATTGAAAATTTGGTTTCTCCAGAAAGATCACTCCCACTATTTCTTAATTCAACTATCAGCGATATTCTAAATGGAGAATTTTTATTTGAACAAATTTTAGAGCACGAATTACTATGGCGTTAAACATCCATCCTCAGAAAAATCTGTAGAGCATTTAAAGTAAGTACAATATATATATACTAGTAATTATTATTATTATTATTATTATAACCTTTTGGCTAATTGTTTAAACCGAATTTTATTTTAGACAATTGGTACAAAATATTCCCAAAAGTGTGACACTCATTAAATGCCTAAAAATTCGAGCTGAAGAATGGTTACAAGCTAATTCTTCAAATAAATGGCAATTAGACATTAACCCTCTCTTAGCTTTTTTCGTCGGCATGCAGAAAATCACTTCTAATAAAGTTAAAGATTAGCGATGGGTGTC